AGGTAAATCTAATAAAGGAAAAATGAAAATGAGAATAAGACTATTAAAAGGAAATAACAGAATACAACTATCAGCAAAACAAGGAAACTAAAAAGATTTTGATTAAATAGCTAATTTTCTGGAAAAAACTAATAAATAAGCAAAAGAAACTTAAAAAATCCTGAATAGACCAACAATCATTGGAACACGTGGAGCTCATTTAGTTTTACAGACAAATCTTTAAAATTTTCAATAAAAAAATAATTTCCATGCTATAGTTTTATAGCAGACAGAAAGAAGGATGAAACAGTCCTTTTACATTTGTGAAGGTGGTATGACTGTGATATTGACATGGGTTAATGAACAAAAATAAAACTACATACCAATCTTGCTTAAATATAAAACACAACATTTCTAAATACAATATCCAGTGCTGCATTAAAATCAAATAAAGATTATCACAGGAAATGCAAGAGTCATTAGTGAAATATATTAGATTAGTGATACAGATCAATGGCTCAGTATAAAGTTAATATGATCATTTTAATAGTGGCTCAGTGTGCATTCCAATAAAATTCAAAATTCTAAATAACCTAATAAAACAATCTACTTTCTTAATATAATAAAACTTATTGACTTAACATTCAAAATTCAAAGACAGTGGTTTTCAATTTTCTTGATATTAGGACCCCTTTAGACTATTAAAAATTATTGAGATTGCCAAAGAGCTTTTGTGTATGTGAGTTTTACCTACTGGTAGTTACTGTATTAGAAATTAAAACTAAAGAGATTTAAAAAAAAATTGTTATATTAGTTTATTTAAAAATAATAATAAACTTAATACATTTTAACATAAATAACATATTTTAATAAAAAATTATAATTTTTAACCCCCCCAATGCTGAAAATTAGTGAGACTAAGTAGTATTGTTTTATTTATTTTTTTGTCTGGCTTAGTAGAAAATAACTGAATTCTCATATCTGCTCCTGCATTCAATCGATTGCAATATCTTGGGATTGAAGAAAATCTAACCTCACACAGATGAGCTGGAGAAGGGAGAAATATCTTTAAAACTTTCAGATAATTGTGGATACTCCATTTTGATACTACACCAAACCTCAACAAGTGGTAGTTTATTAAAGGCTAGCTGCAATGTGGAATCTAAAACCCTACCAACAAACTTTGTGAACTCTGTTACATTAAAATCCATGCCTAATTGGCACTTTGAATGGGTTTTTCACTTTTACCTGGTTCTGTAACACACATAAGATATTCAAAAAACATTAGTTTACTGAGTTATGTAGAGATGCCAAATGCTGAAATATTTCACTGTAAACCAGAAAAAGAAATATGTTTATTAACACCTGTTAATATCACTACCCATCTCATCAGAAAAGTCTTTAAGCTGTCAAGTTCACAGGAGGAGATAAAAGTTTTCCAAAATCCTAATTTTTACTTGAGTGCTAGAATTTAGTCACTGGGAACAAACGCTGTCAGTTGTTTTCCTTGAAGTGGCAGGCTCACTGCATTCATGTTCAAGAAAATGCCTGTGAAATACTCAAGTTTGAAAAAAATTATAGTCCATCTTTCAAATGAAAATGGTGCTCTGTGAAAAAAAGTGGCTAGGTCAGCTTGAAACTCAAACACTCACAGAAGTGCCATTCCTTGAGATAAACCAGTGTATAGCAGAAGTATTGTATGCAGACTTCTCACTTTGTCATAGGGGATAGTAAAAAAGACATCTACCCAAGAGTCAAGAGCCATCAAGGACATAGCTTTTCAAAAAATATTCCAAGTATGTGGCAATGAAGAATGACTAGCACAGTTGGGTGCCACTGTCCTGATTCATGCTAAGGTGCCAAGAGTTTTACCCACCTTTGCTTTTGCCTTGTTGGTACAAATGTCAACACAGTGAAAAAAGATAATGTGTTAGCAGTATTATGAAAATTTTTGACTTGATAGACCTCATGAAAGCATCTCAGGGACCTCCCCACCAAGAACAAGCAGACCACACTTTAATATTGGCTGCTCTAGAGGCATTACTGTTCAATCCAGTAACAAGACCATGATAACAACTACCACTACCACCACAGCTATTTCCTCTAGGCTATGTAGGCAATGGGTAGATCAACAGACCAAAAAAAGTAGTTTACGTCATAAAAGAGAACATAAAATTAATTCAACCACTATGTATTGAGGGCCATGGAGTTTACCTTTAGCAGGAATAAGAAAGAGACCATGTTGGATGACGAGCCTTGTAAGAAAAATAAAATGAGGTAAGGGATTAGAGAGTGAGTAGGGAAGATGTCATATAAAGAAGTCAAGGACAGCATCTCTGATAATGGTCATTTCAGATGAGACCAAATGAAGAAGAGTTAGCAGTCATGTAT